AGATAATGCCTGTGTGTTTTGGTGGCCTTATAAACCGAGAACCGCATGTCCTCTTTCGAAGCAGAGAAAGCCTGTGGGGTTGGTGTTCATTGTTTAGTAACTTTTGGGAGAAATCATTTGTAGGACTGCACTGCAGGAATTAGAGTCAGTCTGAATTAGAGATTGAATGATCTGTTCAGGCCTTTGGAATTTCTATGCCACAGACCACATCCTGTTCTGGATCAGGTGTAGAAGGAGCAGGTTTAGACAGTTTTCTTCTTTTGATCATAGAAATGCCTGCAATTATCACTGTTTGTTGTCTCTCTACGGGGAAGTTATACCGGAAGGGAGGTGTATGGTTTGCTGGTTGGCTGTCAATCACCCCTGGGGAGTCTTGAGGTGTGTCTTCTAGCCAAACGATATGTTCTTGCAGAATGGGAGAGTGTGGCCCAGAGTGAGAAATAGAGAATTGATCCATACTACTATCAATTTCTCTACAATTCTGTCATTCTAGTACTCCTCGCTCTCTTTCATCATAAAAGTAAATCATTTAGAACCCTCCCTAAATACCGAATGTCCATGTAGGACCTCTCTTCTGTCGAGTCCACATCACAAGAAAAAAAGATTGCTCAAAGCGCATGCCAGGCGAGGCCAGATACTGAAAACATCATGGATGCAACTGCTTTCATTGCAGTCTCCATTTAGTTGTCTTGGTTCCCGTTTTCCAAACTCCCTGTTTGCATGCCTTCCTCCTTTCTGGAGATAACGCTAATCTTTGATTTTGCATTATATGGCTCATCATTCAAAATCAATGCAATTCACCACATTAACAAAAATGCAGCAAGAAGACCCATTTTATCCTCTCAGTGGACACTGAAAAACATCTGTTGAAATTTAATAGTCCTTATACGAATTTCCTATCACATCAGGAACAGAAGGGAACTCTCTCCGTTTGATAGAGGCCATTCATGCTTCAGGCTGGCCCCTGCTCAGTGAGTAGCATGCGAAACTCTGCCCACAGTCGAGGTATCAGGAAACATAGCCATTCTCCGTGGATTCAGGGTCGCATAGATACGCACTGAGCCTCATCCATTAATAGTGGAGGAGAACTCCGCATATAACGACACAGGCTCAGAGAAGGCTGATATACAAAACCTAGAGCCTTATTTAGAACATCTTAGGAAATGTACGAACAACCAGAAATGGTGTGAATTTTGCAAACGCCAAGATGGACCCTTCAGCGGCATGTGTGCAGTTTGGTGGCCCATGAGGAGGTGCTCCTCAGGGATTATTGGGTGGTACAACAATTAGTGTTTTCCCTTTGTTAGTTTGCATGCGAGGCAAAATCTCACGCCTTTCACTCTTGTTGACATACAGATGCCAAAGCTTTGAACAAATTCTTACTAAATCAAACCCAGAAATATGTAAAAGGGATAAGAATACCATGAACACTTAGAGTTTGTTCTCATGATCTGTAGTTTTGCATTGCACATTTGGTTCATCATTCAAAAATCAATGTAATTCACCACATTAACAAAAAATAAAGCAGAAAACCCATTTTATCCTCTCGGTAGACACTGGAAAACATCTGTTGAAATTCAATAGTCCTTATATGAATTTCCTATCACATCAGGAACAGAAGGGAACTTTCTCCATTTGATAAAGGCCATTCCTGAAAAACAAGAGCTGACCCCCGTCCTCGGTGGTGGCAGCCGGGGAGCTCTGCCCACAGTCGGGGTGTCGGGAGCATGGCCATTCTCCGTGGTTCAGGTTCGCATGGTGCGCACTGGGGCCTTGGTCTGTGAAGTGAGTCAGGAGAACTAAAAGGCATAAAGACTTGGAAGCAGGGAGATGCTTGATGTACAGAAGACACAGGGCCTTATTTAGAACATTTTAGGAAATGTACAACCAACCAGAAATGGTGTGAATTTTGCAAGCATGCAAGATGGACTCTTCGCAACAGATGTATACGGATGCCCAGTGGCCCATGAAAGGTGCTCACCAGGGAGTCATTGGGTAAGTACAACTTAAACCCACAAGGCTCCCTTTCACAAGAGTGGAGAAGGGAGGACAGTAGCAGGTGCTGGTGAAGATATGACAGACTGGATCTCAGACTGATGTAGACTTAAAATGGCACAGCCACTTCAGTAAACTGTGGCAATTTCTTTAAAATGTGTACACTTACCATATGGCCCAGCAGGCACACTGTAGACGTTCACCAAGGAGAGCTGAAAATGTGTGTCTTTGTAAAAGAATGCACATTATCTCCAGAGTAAATTGTCATAGCCAAGAACTGGAAACAACATAAATCCCTCTCATCTGGAGAAACATGAGCAAATTCTGATATATTCATACATTGTCCTAGTTCCCATCAGGAAAAACATACAAAATACTGAAACCAAAACAGACAATGGGGATGAGTTCTAGGAGCCTTGAATTGAGCAGAGAGTGAACACCACGCTGTGGAGTCCATGTGACGATGGAGAATCTATGCGAGTCTCGGGTGACGGAAGAATGCCAAGAACACTCCTCGAGAATGAACAGTGGCTGTCTCTTGAGGGCTGGGATTGACTGGGAGGGGACTTGTGGGAACCTTGATGCAAAAGATTTGAGTAGGGTAATAGATTTCCATTTCTCGAAATGCGCCAAGTGTACTCAAGATCTGAACATTTCACTGTGTATACTTTGTACTCCCTACCTTCCAAAAAAACAATGAAAAAATAATTACAAATGAGCACTGAACTCGATAGATTTTCACAGTGGTATTAGATAGCAATTCTGGAAGCACTTCTGTATCTCCAGGCTTAAGCAAATAAGCTTAATAAATCAGTGAATATATTGAGTGTTACAGGAGCCAGGTTTCTTTCTTGGTAAGAGAGGTAGAAATAAGAAAAGGCCAAAGCCTGGAATGGATCACATGGGATTAGGTTGCAGCAGGAGGTACCAGTTATAAGCTGGTGGCTCCCGACAGATGTAGACAGGGACAGAAGTGCCTGTGGATGGGTGTGGGTGCACATGCGTGTACATGCGTGTTGTGTGTTCTACTTGCCGGCAATGCCCAGCAGCACTCGGGGCCCACTCTTAGCTTCTAAACACTGTTCTTCACTAGAAGGAGCCCTGGTCTAAGGGCTGGGGAATCCGGTGTCAAATCTGGGACCAGTTGAGCAACAGAACAAACCATTGTAACTATGAATCATAACCCACCAAGCCAGACTCCATGAGTACATATGGACATAGGTAAATGAACGCTGAAAGATAGAATAATTATTTTTCAGTGAATATGGAAGATCTAATGATTTAGAAGGAATGACAGGAAATCAGTGGATGCTAAAACTAGTAGTGAAGAATTGATGGAAAACAGAATATGCACATAGTGTCATGGTCTCTCCTCCCAAATCTTAATTTCAACGCGAGAAGTAGCATCTTTGCTTTGGAGGCACTTAAGCACCACCTTCACTGAGTTGCCGATGTTAACATTGTCACATAGGACAGACTTCTGCAGTGTCCCTGCTAAAATGCATACTCTTGAGTCTAGTCCGGCAGATACCAAAATAAAGGACAAGCTGTAAAATAACTGACCTGTATTCTTTAACATTTCCAATTTCAAGAAACACAAAAGCTGAGAAACTTGGATTCTGGATGGGTAAAAATCACATGACAAATCAATTCATGATCCTGGATTGGATCGTAAAAGAGGAAGACCAAGTAAGAAAATTATAGAGACAGTTGACACCATTTGAAAGTGAACTTTGTATATGACAGTTAAATTTCCCAATCTTGAGGAAAATGAATGTGAGAGCATACCCTTGTGTTTAGGAAATTCATTGAAACATTTGGGTATGGAGGGACATAGTATCTGAAATTTTTTTTCATTTGACTTAGAAAATTCATGGGGGAGGGGGGAAAGCAGTGATGTAAGATAGGAACAGTTGGGCCTAAGTTGAGCCTGGTAAGTTATGTGGGAATTCGCTACGCTGGTCTTGCAGATTCTCTGTGTATTTGACATTACATCCAAAAAGTTTAAAATGGAGAATATGCAAAACAAAAAGCGATTTGTGGAAGTGAGTGGACTGTCACCTCATTGATTCCTTCAGTTTTTGGCCATGAGCCAAGTCAGTCACATAGTGGTTTTTGACCTGGGAATTAGAAATAGTGGCCAGATGACCAGGCTCTTTATCTAGTTAGGGAGAGAAGTGTGCACAAAGGCTGACCAAGACCGAGTAGTGTGATGAGCTGCTTGTGGGCGTGATGCTGAGGGTCTGGGTCCTGTCTCAGGTGGCAGCTTGGGGGGTTTAAGCCAGAAAGCCATATCCGATTCCCTTTCAGTGGGATCATTCTTGCAGCTTCAGAGAAAACTGCCCCAACCCGTCTTCACACACGCTGGCCATTTTTGGTGGTGGTGGTTTTATTCTGCCAACACCGTTCTCACTGACAGTTTAGGGCCTTTGAGCCGGTTTTTGCCTGTGTCTCGAAGATTCTCATCTTGACAGCCGGTATGTTTCATTCCTGTTGTTCTGATTCTGTGTTAAAAGGGTTCTTCCCTGGCTTCACAGTTTGGAGTTGCCGCTGCATCTGTCTCTGCTTTAATTCTCTAGCCCATCTATCAAATGTTTCATCCCTTAAGAAGTGGCCTGCGTGAGATGCCATGAGACTGTCTACCTTATCACCACTGCGTCCCCAGCCCGTAGGGACTTACAGAGAAGGCATTCAGTGAATGTGTGGAATTAATGTAATGGGTTAATAGCCACAAAATGTGTTAATGATTGTTTTAGTCCCTTTTCACGCTGCTGATAAAGACATACCCGAGACTGGGAAGAAAAAGATTTAGTTGGCCTTGCAGTTCCACATGGCTGGGGAGGCCTCAGTATCATGGTGGGAAGCGAAAGGCACTTCTTACACGTCAGCAGCAAGAGAAAATGAGGTAGAAGCAAAAGCGGAAACCCCTGATAAACCATCAGATCTCATGAGACTTATTCACTATCACAAGAATAGCACAGGAAACATGGGCCCCAGTGATTCAATTATCTCTCCCTAGGTCCCTCCCACAACACATGGGAATTCTGGGAGGTACGATTCAAGTTGATATTTGGGTGGGGACACAGCCAAACCTTATCCATAGCCAACACAGTCCTGGCCTGTGGCTGGTGTTGAGCTGAGCTGCGACTGTGGCTGTGTGAGTTGGGGTGCGAGGCGTGCGCACGCCTCTCAGTGGTACAGTGAAAGGATTTGGAGGCTCAAACGTGTGACCTACAAAGAATCTCCAAAGATCAAGGTCTATTCACCCTAAAAAGAAAAATCTCAGCACAGTTTACAGCCAGTGTTTGCTTGTGGATATGGATTCTGCAGTAATAAAATGAATAATTAAAAGTCTGTGAATAAATTTTAATGTCTTTACTGGAATTGTAAACACTGATTTTCTTTCCTCACCTACCCATCTATTGGTGAGTTTCAGAAGGTGGATGAACCGTGCTGCGGGGACAGAGAGGAGGGTATAGAGCTTGGCCTCTGGGACTTCAGCTGAGCACTGAGTGACTGAGCTCTCTCCGTTTCAGACGTCCACACGGAAGCTGTCTGGGCAGCTCTGGCCAAACACAAAGAGTGGAAGATGGCGGTGCCTATGCCTTCCAAACGCAGGTCCCTGGTCGTGCAGACCTCCATGGATGCCTACACCCTTCCAGGTAAGGGACACGCTCCCCGACGCTGCCTCCTGAACATGCTGGGCGCCTCAGAATTGACCACTGGCTCAGCAGTCGGGTTTTTGCCTTCAAAATCATGGTGCAGAAATGCAGATTTTGTGAACCAGAATTCCAAAAACAGTGTATGAGTTAAACGTGGAAGAAAAGTAACATTATGTATCTGTATAAATACACGTTTTTAACTTTTCCTCAAGACTCATACATATGATACATACCAGTAAAATCTCACAGTTTTATTCATTTAATTCCTTGTAGGGAAAAGGGAAGAGTTTGTTGTAGCCCTCTGGGTGGAATTGGACTTTTCTTCTGACTAGGCTGGTGCATGCGTGTTCTCAAATCTTCAGATAAGCGTGCTATATTGTTGGATTGTTTTAGAACAAGCGAATTGGACAGTTTAGGCAGCTACCCGAATCAGGTCATAAACTTTGCCTGCAAGGTGCCAGCTAGTTTTTTAGTTCCTGCAGGCCATAAGGTCTCTCACAACCACTCAATTCTGCCCTCAGCCATGGGTGATAGCAAGTGTGTATGGGTGTGTACCAACAAAACTTTATTTACAAGAACAGTGGACCAGATTTGGTGCACAGACCTGCCAAACCTTGATCTAAATTACTGAAGGTAATAGCCAATTTATATTTCTGCTATATAATACTGCTTTTATTTAATCTTTAATTTTACATAACTACCCAAATTCTCTATTTTCTCTACCCAAATAATTATAAACTACATTTCATGATCTTCACACCCAAGTAAAGCAGAAAGTTTAGTTATCCAGATACTTGTTAGAGACACAGATTGAACCTACGTTATTTGGTGTTTAGTTTCTGTGATATTGATTCCAACATTATTCATGTCGTTGTTACAGGCTTGTCTTCTCAAAGGACCTGAATCACCTTACATCCCACGTTGAAGCTACATATCACTTTAAATGACACCGTGTTTTTTGTCCAATACAAGAGAAACTTAAGGTACAATATGAATAGTTGAAAACCTACAACACTTTAGGGAGTATTTTTACTTTTGAAGTTTAGCTTAGTCTTGGCAAGCAGTGAGACAGAAGGATGTGCTTCAGATCAGAGCTGAGGTCAAGAGTATGTCCACATTACTGCAAGCAGCTCCTGAGTTTCACCTTTACGTACCTTTACAAATGAAGGTACTGGAATTGACAGGATAGAACTTAGAGTGCATCATTTTGGGTTTTCGTTGCTTTTTGCTTTGAGACAAGGTCTTGCTCTGTCACCAAGGTTGGAATTCAGCATCATGATGGCAGCTCTTGGCTCACTGCAGCTGTGCTTCAGCCTCAAGCAGCTGGGACCACAGGTGCTCGCCACCATACCAGCTAATTTTTAAGTTTTTGTAGAGACAGGGTATTCCTATGTTGTTCTTGTTTTTCATTTACACATAAAGTGTTCTTCATCTAAGGAACGCAATGCCAGCAGGCAAGGGAGTGAATGCCGTGCTAGCAAGGTTGTTGGCAAAGGAGCCCTTTTTGCCAACGTGCTCCCTTGGACTCCTCCCTTTCTTTATTTTAATATTAAGTCACAGCACTATAAGGGCTGGGCACGGTAGCTCATGACTATAACTCCAGCACTTTGGGAGTCCAGGGCAGGTGTATGGCTTGAGCCCAAGGGTTCAAGGAAAACATGGAAGGAACATTCAAGGAAATGTTCAAGGAAAACAAGGTTCATGGAAAACACGGCAAAATGTACAGAAATGCCTTTTGTACATCTTGTCTCCCCCAAAAGTACAAAAAATTAGCTGAGCCTGGTGGTGTACACCTGTAGTCCCAGCTACTTGGGAGGCTCAGGTGGGAGAATCACTTGAGCCCGGGAGGCAGAGGTTGCTGTCAGCTGAGATGGCACCACTGCACTCCAGCCGGGACAACAGAGCAAGACTCCCATCTCAATTAGAAAAATATAACGATAATAAATAGAGACTCTTTAGAAAGGATTAGGCCAGGCGTGGTGGCTCATGCCTCTAACCTCAGCAGTTTGGGAAGCCAAGCAGGCAGATTGCTTGAGTCCTGGCATTTGAGACTAGCCTGGGCAACATTCCAAAGCCCATCCCTACAAAAAATACAGAAATCAGCCAGGCATGGTGGTGTGTGCCTGTGGTCCCAGCTGCTTAGGAGGCTGGGGTGGGAGGATCACTTGGGCCCAGGGAGGTTGAGGCTACAGTGAGCCATGATTGTACCACTGCACTCCAGCCTGGGCAACAGAGCAAGACCCTATCTCAAAAAATAATATGCTTAATCCTGTTTCTTTAGTTTATGGTTATAATTTGCAAAAACTTATGGTAAAAAAAATTGTATTTGTATGTGTTCTTTGTGTAGCTAACAATATGGACGTAAAAGGATAACCCACTTGAAATATTTTAAACCAAATTTTTGGCACTAACCAGTATGTAAGGCAACAGGCATTTTTCTTCACCACTTTTTATAAGAGAAATGACTTTGAAATGGAAGAAGCAGTGCGGTTATTTGCTTATTTCTTGTATTGAATCCAACCGCTAAGAAATGTTACTGGGTCATGTGTGATGAATAACCTCACTATACAGATGTCTGCAAAATATAAAAGAATATTATTTGAAATGTTACTTTTGTGAAATATTTGGATTTATTTGACTAACATTTTTATATAAACCATAAAGCGTCCTTTGTAAATTTTCATCAGGAGTCCTCTTGATATCACATGGGGCAGTTTTGTAAAATCATAAATGTCAATATCATAAAAATTTTTTACTCCCACCCTATTTTGTGCTTAACGATAGTTTGCATGTTTATTAACATACTTACTTGATCAAAATGTTAGCTGCATTTCCTACCTATTTTTCTTGGTTGTTGGTAACAGTGGTTAGGTCTTACTCAGTTTCACTGCCCTTCAGAGAATGTTCTTGAAGTTTATCTTCTATGAAATGTCTGGCTGCTGACCTGGATCATAGTTTCTGGAGAAACACTCATTAGGATTGTCGCAACACTAATATTCTTTGGGTGAAACTTTCCTTTAGTTTCCAAATGTAAAGATAAAAGAAAAATTTGCCAAAACTACTTCTAGCCATGATGAGAGAACAGGGACCCAAATCACACATCTGCCATAAACAACTGTAAAACTGCACAAAACGAATGAGGTGGCTGTTTTTAGTCTGTGACCACAGCTGTGCCAGCCAGAACCTGAGGGCGAGGGCAGGAGATGAATGAGACTCACCCACAGCATACTTGCCCTCTGGAGAACACCTGCAGACCATGGCGCCGAGAGCTCAGGTGTGAGCGGAGCATGGCCACCTACCACGTCCAGGAGGGGGAGATGAGAGAGCGCTCAGGTGTGGGCAGAGCATGGCCATCCTACCACGTCCAGGAGGGGGAGATCGGAGTGGGTGCAGGATGGGAGCTCTCCACAGATTCACACCAACAGCGAATCAAACCAAGCCTGCCCATGTCACGATGACGCAGCCGTGCCTGTGCTAGCTGCTAAAACAAGAGCTGGAAGGCTTCAGAGGAAGGTTAGAGATCCTGAGTGTGCTCAACAAGTTACCCACAATGTGTAATATTCAGCAAATCATCACTGCATACACAGAGAAACAGGGGGTAGAATCTGTGGTCAAGAAAAAGGTGGTAAAAAGTGCAGACACATGCAGGATGGTCTCTGTCACTCACCACATGTGGCGGCTGAGCACATGAAGTGCACCCGGTCTGAACTGGATTTGCTGCGTGAAAGACATGCCAGTTAATATAAAAAATAGAAAATACTGTATTTGTGTGTGTGTATATATATATATTTTTTGTTTTGTTTTTTTTCATTAAATTTTTGGATGGAGTCTTGCCCTGTCGCCCAGGCTGGAGTGCAGTGGCGTGATCTTGGCTCACTGCAAGCTCTGCCTCCCGGGTTCATGTCATTCTCCTGCCTCAGCTTCCCAAGTAGCTGGGATTACATGCACCCGCCACAATGCCTGGCTAATTTTTTGTATTTTTAGTAGAGACAGGGTTTCACCGTGTTAGCCAGGATGGTCTCAATCTCCTGATCTCGTGATCCACCCACCTCGGCCTCCCAAAGTGCTGGGATTACAGATGTGAGCCACCTCACCCGGCCTATTTGCATTTCTTATTGAAAGTATAGTATGAGCATTTTGAGTTAGAAATATACTAGTAAAATTAATTGTACCTGTTTATATATTTGTATGAGGCTACAAGGAAGGTTTCAAGTTCTATAACAGGACTCTCATAATTCTGTTGGAAAGTGCCAGTCTAGATGTCTGATACAGCAGAAAACTGAGTTTTTAAATCTACAATTATAAATATTTAGGGAATCAAAGTACAACGTGTCAAAGAATGAAAATATTTTAATTCTTGAGCCAGAGGAAGGGAACACACTTTTTACTATGATGGAGTTGGGGAATTTCAGGTTCCGTACACGATAATCTTGAGAATTGTCAATCCCTCCTCACAGGTAAAAAGCTGAGCAAACTGAAAAATCAGCAGCTCTTCTTAAGCCAGCAAGAAACCTGAGGTCACAGGCAAGCCACTGTCCCCAGATTGGCTGGACAGGTAAAGCGGAGAATCACCATACACTGGAGCACAATGCTCCAAGGAACCCACGCTGGGAATGGAAACCCTGAACTGGAATTGACAAATTGCTGCAGTGAGGTGTGGCCACGTCTGAGAGTTAAAACCTCCAGGAGGCCTGTGCATATGGGTCTCATGCTTTTGTGAGTTGTATCATCAGAAGCTCAACCAGGTTCTCGAAGTGTAAATATCAGAGAAAAATCCCCTCACACTTACTACAGGGGAAAGAGAATAAGAATCATTTTTCAGTATGCAGGTGCACTCTTCACTAGGTCTACCTTCCAGAGAAGCTAGTTAACTAGAGACTAACCTGGTGGGATTTTATCAGAGCCTTCTGACCTGAGGGAAAGGAAATACCCAACTCCAACCTCCAGAACTGAAAAGCAAAAAAGAACAGAGTATCCAAGCACTATGGGACGTCTATAGAGGCATAAAATATGCATAACGGTAATACAAGGGGAAAGAAAGGAACAGAAGAAATATTTGTAACAGTAATAGCTGAATTTCCTCAGATTAATGCCAGACACCAAGCCATAGATCCAGGAAGCTCAAGAAACACTAAGATTCTCTTAAATATTACAAATTACAATATTAATATTTATTAATTATAATAGTTATAATTACAATAATTTAATAGTACATTTGTGATATTAAATATTACAATTAAAATGCAAACTAGAAACAAATTGTTTCTAAAAACCAAGAAGTGTGGATTCTATGAAGCTGATTTCTTTTATTCTCTCTAAATTCTAAGCCTTTCAAAGAATAAAATCACACACACATTAATAAACTACAGCAGGCGAAACAAATGAGGCCGCCCTCTGTGACATGGAAGGCCCTATGACCTATTCCACCTCTTCTAACACCAGGTGTGCGGTTTCTCTCACCCTGACCAGTTCTCTGTATCTCTGGACACCAACTGTGTATTCTACAACTGAATTCAGGTCTGAAATTAGGGCAGACCGCCCCCGCTTCACCAATGGCAAGTTTCAGGTTTCCCTTGCTTCTGACCGACCACCTAAAAATCAGGGTTGCCATGTTCTTCTACTTAAGGTCAATAACTTGCCAGACTGGCTCATGGCACCCAGGGCAACACCCTTACCTACTGTCACCAGTTTACTATGAAGGACCTGTGAACAGCCAGATGAAGAGGTGCATTGCTCCAGGCCTGGTGGGCGGGGGCGGGTTGCAAGTACAAGTGCTTCTGTTCCTGGGGAGTGGGAATGCTGCCCTCCCAGAACTTCAAGGTTTTCCCCAACCTGCAAGCTCTCCAACCCCCACCATTTAGGGTTTTAGAGAGGTGTCACTGTAGACATGGTTGATGACATCTTTGGCTATTGGGGATTGACTCATCTCCAGCCCTCTCCCTCCAGGTCAGAGGTTGGGTTGGAGACTGACAGCTCCAGCCCTCTAGTCCTGCCTTGGTCTTTCTGAACCCCAGACCCACTCTGAAACTGCCTAGGGGTCCCCAGCTCCCAGGCCTGTCCTGAGTACACAAAGGCACTCTGACAGTCTAAAGATTCCAAGGGTCTTAGACGCTCTGTGCCCAGAACCAGATGAAGACCAAATAGCTATGTCTCCTTGGATGGCACAATCACAAGCTCTCATCAGCTGATGGTCTGGAGCAGGTGTGCCGAGAGAGCTTTGCTGTGGCCCTGTTGCTGGGAATCTTTGTTTTCAATCCTTGCTGGGCCAACAGATGCTCTCTGGTCATTCCCCAAGCTGGTTGAATTTACAGTCTTTTCCGTTTGATTCCACTGTTCTGGCCCAGTTCTTCTGAAGCCTCTTTCAACATCTTTGCCTCACCTGGGCGCTGAGATCTTGTGACCCTCACCCAGCAGGAGATACGGATGTCAGGATCCGGCTACCCTACTTACAGTTGGATTGTGAAGAAGCCAGTCCTAAGCCTTCCCTTCCTAGGTCTCTTTAATGCCAGAAAGGAGATATTTTTATTTCATTTTAGGTCGATACGAGTGACATACAAATTTGAGTCGGCCAGTTCACTTGCCAGGCACCTGACTCTTCTGGATTAGAAGAGTCTGGGTAAGTCTGGATAAGAAACAGGCCCCATACTGCCAGGACACAGAAGGGCAGCCTCGGTCCCCACAGGGTCATGACAGAAAACCACAGCTCCCGCAACTGTAGGAATTCTACAGATTTTCACACTTAGAAGAAAATGCCGCCCAGGAGTACCCACCCCGATTAATTTTCTCAAAAGTGGTTTTGCAAAGGCTCAGAAGAAAAGTCAGGACGCAGGGCGCCAGCCAGCCCCACCTTCCCAAAATCACTTGCCCCGGGGCCACCCACCTGCAATCAAACTGTTGAGATGGGTTTTTATTCTCAGCTGTTACCAGAGCAAATATTCTTGGAGAAGCATGCATTAGAGTAGGGTGCCTCTTTACAGAGGTCCTGGAGAGTGAGGCTTCAGCAAGTCACTGGCCAGGGACTCCGGGAACTTCACGGTTGGGGGGCTGGAGGTTAGAGGGGACAGAACCCTAACGGTGGGTGAGCTGAAAATGGAAGAGCGTTCTTCACCTCAGAGTCTCCTGGGGCCTTTCCCTTCAGGAGCTGAAGGGGTGAGGGCTGTACAGTCTCGGACAGGTGCTGCCCGGGCTTCGAGAGCTGACGCATCTGTCCCCAGAGCTGGGCAGCCGCCAGCCCAACCCACCCTGTAATAACTGAAGTCCTTTGTCCCCACCCAGCCCCAGTCTGGGGGTCTGGTGCACGCTGTCCTTGATCAACCCATGCCATACATGAAGTGATGATGTCAATTTCCTACTTGAACTGCCCCCCCCCCCATGCAAAGTATACCTTCTGGACATTGGATAAAAGACACCCCTTAATGTAGCCCCAAGGCCTCTGCTCTCCATGAACCTCCTGAGGGCGACTGCAGCATGGCGAGCAGGGAGCCACGGGCTTCTTGGTAAAAGTGTAAAATGAAGCTCTGTCTGAAAGGACCCCCATCTGTTAGATTTGGAAAACAGCTAAAGGCCGTTTGCTTTTCACAATGAGTAGACTCTTAGGAATGTATTCTAAGGAAAGGCAGAAGATATGGAGAAACAAATTCAACAAGAATATTCTTTGCAGCAATAGCAAGGGAGGAAGGGAGGGAGAGGGAAGAGAGGAAAAGGGGAACAGAGAAACAGGCAGATGAGACAGAGAAACAGAGACAGAGAGAGGCAGAGAGAGCACCTAGCTTGTTTTCAACTTGACCTCCTGGGAGAGTCTAGCAGGATCATAGAATCCTCAGCACACTCTTGTGCTGGGGCAGCCAAGTTTCAAGCCAAAGTTTCCCAAACTAAAAGGTAACAAATGCTAAGACTGAAGAAGCTGTGCACGTTCTTTTCCAGCTCCTTTTTGCAGCATCAGCAGAATGGGGCAGGTTGCTGCGTTCGTTCTAAAAATCAAAACTGCAAGAGGAACCAGCTGCAGAGAGGGGCGTGGGAGGGCAGATGTTCTCTTGCTGACTGAACTCACACCCCGGAGAGCGCCAGCGCCTAATGCCGCCTCCACAGGTTCCACGGAGGACACAGGAGAGTCTGTGGCCACGTGAGGAGCAGACTCACATTTCTATGGCTCCCTCCCTCCCTCTATGAGCTGTATCCCATGAGTCCTGCTCACTCCCCTCGGTCCCGATGCCCTAGCCTTCAGCATCTCTGCCAATCTTCATGAAAGAGCCTGTTGCACCGCAGTCCAGCAGGGCCACAATATTCAGATGAAAATTGTAATGATCACTCTTCTGACTGCAAAATCCCAAGAGTCAGAGAACTTCTCTCACTAAAGGAGAGGGGCGGGGCGAGCTGGACAGAGAGAAGCTGCCCTGGCTGTCGGGTGCTGAAAACTGTGACACTGCCTGGCACCAGCGATGAGGGACTCACGCTCGACCCCAGAGGCGGCTCGTCCAGGAAGAATAACAAGCGGCCACCGCGGGTCTCCCCCAAGCTTCCAGCTGTCGGGAAATCTTGTCCAATCACCCACCTTGCCATGCCACCTGCTCACCTGCATTCTGTAGTAGTAGTAACGCATCATTCACGTCCCAGCAGGCCAAGTGCTCAGGAAAATGGGGCCAAAAAGTAGAAAACCATGACCGTAGAAGGCAATGGCACATGACTGAGCTTTCTGGGTTGTGCGTCCTTGTGGTGATAAAAACAGTCCTAACTGAGCTGAACACCAGAATGAAAACGAACCTTCCTCCGTGCTGAAGTCGGAAGAGGTGTGCTTGGCTATCCGCAGTGCCTGCCTGTTTGGGCGGTGATTACTGCCGGTCACACGTGCTGTACAGGAGGAGGGCAGTGAACTCTGGAGCCAGGCTGGCCGGGTACAAGTCCCAGCTCCATGGCCAGCTCTGTGATCTGGGACAATTCACCCGTGTCCTCTGCCTCTTGGTTTCCTCCTCTGTAAAATGGGGGTAATAGTCGCATCTATCTGAAAGGGCTATGTGAGAATTAAACGACCTTGTAAATGTAAGGGGCTGAGAACAGTATCTGCTCTTGGTGAGCAGAAGGATGACCAGGAGGTGACCAGCAAAATACCCCTTTCGAAGCCTCAATACTGTTCCATAGTGAGCAAAGACACAGCTCCTCTACGGACGAAGCCATTAATAGTCGATACTGGCAGGCAGACTGCAGATTCCTTCGAATCAGAAATTTGAACTCTGGCCAATGACTGCTGTACTGATTGAGTAAATCTTAGGATTTGTTGTTAATGGTAAAGTAGTCTACAAAACCAGAAACAGTCTGAAGGAGTTTGAGAGGGTGTGGGCTCAGCTGCAACCTCTCCTCCCAAGGCCGTTGGTCAACAACATCTCCAGCCCTGTGGAAAGACAGCAGCAGTGAAGAAAATGTCGGACAAACATTTGGTGTGTTTGTACACTT